GGCCCGTCACGTGCCAAACGGGAGGCACGTGACGGGCCAAATGGGAGGCCCGTCACGTGCCGCACGTTGGGCCCACGAAGGGCCCCCTGGACCAAATGAAATGGGCCGTTTCGCGGGCTTGGGCCAGGCCGAACAAGGGCCGAATCAGGGCTTGGGCCGGGTCAAACAAGGGCCGTACCACGGGCCTCCACGTGCTTGGGCCGCAGGCTGAGAAGCTGAGGCCCAGCCCTAGCCCATTACACGTGCCGTGCCGGCACGGCCCGTAACAATAGCGAACCGGGCCGTGCCGAATCGAACACTATTACGAGCTGGGCCGGGCCGTCCATAAACGGCCCGGCCCATTTGACACCTCTACTACACAGACATGGGCCTATTATGATAACATAATATATCACAAGTTTTTTGGTTCACAATCGAAAAACATAAAAAATAATAATTATTATTATTAGAGTTATTATTAATAATAACAATAATAACAATAACAATAAATAACAATAACAATAAATAACGATAACGATAACGATAACGATAATAACGATAATGATAATAACGATAACGATAATAACGATAACGATAACGATAACGATAATAACGATAACGATAACGATAATAACGATAACGATAATAATAATAATAATAATAATAATAATAATAATAATAATAATATAACGATAATAACGATAATGATAATAACGATAACGATAATAACGATAACGATAACGATAACGATAATAACGATAACGATAACGATAATAACGATAACGATAATAATAATAATAATAATAATAATAATAATAATAATAATAATAATAACAACAGTAGGAATGGAACCAGAATTTTCAATTAATTGTACATAGAACGCTGATATTTGGGACCCATATATGTATCTAAATCAAGTTAATGTGGATTGAAATGGAACCAAAATTCATCCAGACACAAAAAATATTCCTATATATATATATATATATATATACATATTTTATTTTAACACACACATATGTATATGAATGATATATGTGTGTTCGCATCCATGTTTGTAGATAATACTACAACAAAAAGAGTTATTAACGACGACATTATTAGCGACGACATATAGACTGAAACCACCAGCAAATTTAATCCGATTAAAACGCTCACATTTCAACCATAGGTGTCGTCCATCTATCTCCTCTATTCCATGGGTATAATATGACATAGCTTACACCTCTGTGGTCCATGGATATGGTCCTTTTATTTTAAATCCCTCTCCTTCCTTCCAGCACTAAAATCCTTATTAGTTATTACAGACAAACCCAAACAAGTCGTAGATGAACTCAATATTACACTACGGGCTGGAGCACGGGATGAAACAATGGTCATTCATCTCAGAGCAGTGGATTTTATGGTCAAATGCATTTCTACATGCTCCACCACGCTCTACTATAAATATTTCCCCAAACATTTGGATATCAAATTTGTTAAAAGACAAAGGGAGTTTTTCTTGTAAAACTGATGACAAAAAATAAATAAATTATCTATAGTTCGTTACCTTTTAACCATCTGATCTAGTAGTAACATAAACTATAATAAACTATATGTTCTGCATACGTTTCTTATCTGATGTGATCTTAATAAAATCTAACAATCAAAAACTAACCCCACCAATTGGCCGGCCTACTGAACAAGGTCCTTGACACAAATTGTGATTCCATTCAAACGTTTATCAACCTTCTCCCCCCCATCAAAAAATAAAAATAAAAATTTATGCTTCTAAATACTACACTTGAAACTGTAATGGTATAATTGTAAAGTTTCCCAGATTTAATACCAGTAAAAATACATTTGCTCGCAACAGAAGCTCTCATCCGCGATCTAATAATATATCCAACAAAACAAATTGTTAAACTATGCAACACAAAAGTAGCAGCGATCCTAACAAAGAGACGAAGTTGCACTTGTACTTATGGCAAGAAATCCATAAGATTTCTTCATTATCGGAAAGCATTGATGCTAAAATAACATGACTTGCATGGCAGCCATTATTCATTTCATGAGATTTTATCTTCCTTTTTCCCAATTTTTATTACACCTTTTATTTGTTGCGTGCTTGTCGAAAGAAATATTGATTTCAGTAAACTCTTTGGTTGAATTCAGACTACCAAGGTCTAGTAGTGGAAGGAAACATAATTCACCAAGAAATTCTCAGAGAACGGCGACAGGCTCTTTCTGTGTTCCTAGAGAGATCTTTTCCTTGCCATTCACAATTTGTTGCTTCTCGGTGGCAGGAACTGCTGCTTCCCGCTTCGCTTGAGCTACGGATTGCCCCACGGGATATGCCCGTCCACTATCTTGTACAAGATCTTTAATGGTGGTTACCAGCTCGTTATCCTTGATCAAAGACTCCAATGTCACATGCACACCTGAGCGTGACAACACGAGTGGTGAACTCAAACAAACCAAAATGAAATAGAACCAAACTTAATTTGTTAAATGATCTTGAAAAACAAGAATCTATACGTACGATATCTCCAATAATGCTTTGGATTCGTGGGGTCGTTGATTGTTTCCTCTGTTGCAGGACGTCTTGTGTACTTTTCCTTCAAAGCGAACAAGTCCTGAACAAAAGGAAAGCCGGAAAAAAATGAGAACAAAAGTTTCGGCATTTAACAAATTGAGTTCTCAGTTTTAGAACCGCCTAGGCACCTGAAGTGGAAAAATTGCCCACATTGAAGGAGCTTCAACATGTTGCTTAATGACAAAATACGCCACATCAGGAACACAGGTACTAGGCGGCAGCAAGTCAGAGCCGACAACAGTTTTGAAGTACCGTCTTCGTCTTTCTTCGTCTTCCTCCCACCAAGCACGCAGGGTTGAGCAGTCATGGCAAGATGGAGCACACACCTGATAGATTGGCACACAAATAAATCACTTTCAGATTACAATATTACAATTAAGATGAGGAAAATTAACCAAAGGGTCAATCTGGTGCATAAAAAATATTACAAGGATATTAAAAGTGTTTTATGTTTGGCAATTGAAAAGTGATATATTTTATGCAGCATCTAGGACTTAATAGAAAAGTTTTCTTTGTAAAATAACTTTCCAAAAAAATTTTATTTTCAAAATGACCAGGAACGACCACATTTTACAAAGAACGACCGCGTGATCGTTCTTTATGAAAATGAAAGGGGTCATTTTGCCAATTTTAATTTGTTACATAGTCACTCTATTTATATGTATATATCTCTGTGTGTGTGTGCATATGTATCTGTATTTGTTTTTAATATGAAGCAACCAGAATTCCTTAAAAGAGAAAAGAAAACAAACAAAGAGGAATGAGAACCAGAGGTCTTCCTCAAACCTGTAAGGACAATAATTGTACCAGGATATTCAAGTGTAAAAACAGTAGAGAAACGTGATGCAAGATCTTTACCGTCATATAGCTGTATTGTGAAGGAATACCAAACTCCAAACCAGGTTCACTAGGCATGCGTTGAATGCGCAAGCCTACTAAGCCCAGTTCTTGCATAACCTGCATGAAAATTAATCAAATTAGAGAAGCTCCCATTTGAGGAAATGTCTAAAGATCAAAGAAATTAAGGATTTGAATGAGCGTACAGGATGAACACAAGAAGGAATAAGGCCGAGATCTTCCCCACAGGCAAGCATATCAGATGAGTTTAGCAGAACAGGAAGAGTCTTCAGAGCATTCTGCCGCCAAAGATTCTCTTGCCGGTGGAAATAGTAGTCATAGTACAATCTTTTCAGAACATTTTTGCTGTCGATGACAAATAAGAGTTACAATGTCGGCACTAAACTAGGGATGATGTCGGCACTAAACTAGGGATGTTAAAGATAAAAGAATCGTTCCCATAAATAGCACTTAATTTATTCAGGCATGCATTCAGCAAAAGGAATATATTATATATATATATATATATAGAGTACCTGTGATCATCCAAATCTTGGAAACTGGAAGTATCTTCCAGATTAAAGCGAGGGTAGAATTTCTTTGGATCTTCTGGATCTCTAATAAGAACTATATTCTGAAAGAGCAATAGAATAAGTAAAAATCCGGAACAAGGACGGAAAATGTATTCAAGAAAAGTTTAGGACGTGCAAAAAAATAAATATAAAAAGTTAAAAGTACGTTTATAGTAAAAATTTACCCGTAGAAGATCAAAAAGATCGCGCCGTATCTTGTCTTCATTATCTAACAAAGAATTTTCAGAAAGCGATTTCAGCTTGGATGCAATTTTTTTTTCTGTGTTGCAGTCCTCCTTGAACTATTAAAAAAAAGTAAAGAAAATATTTTTTTAAAACCATCAAATGCAGTTGCATCGTTTATTGTGGCCTAAAAATGCCAAAATAAGCAGAAACACAAGCCTAAAGCGGGGGCAGTCAGATTTCAAATAAGTTAAGGATCCAGAACACCTTGCATGGACATAAAATAGAATCCATAAGCACCAACCAAATAAATAGGCATTCAACAAAAATATCAAAAACATACTCCTGTAATTCATAAGGTTATTCTACGGCTCCACTCACCAAAATATTGCTCTAACAAAAGTGATATTGCATATCATTCCATTCCCTAAAAAATCTATTCTTTAAGCTATAATGGGCTTACGGAAAAATTAATTACTTCAGACATCTCATGGTGTCATTTGAATCTCATTCCATATTAAACTAATGTACAAAACCCTATATTGAGAGGGGGGGAAAAAAAGGGGACACCTACAAAACCCTACAGAATTCTATGACATGTCCAGAGCATTAAATGACAGAGCAATGGTAATACGGTGCGACATGGTCTGACATGAGAGTTAAGAAAATATTGGAAGTCAATCCAAAAATTTGTAAAGGTGTACATCAACGTCAACAGCAGAACAACATAATGTTTAAATACCTTCAATAAATTCAGCGAGCAAACAAGGAAATTGAAAAGAGAAAAAAATAACAAATTAAAACATAAAAATGATTATCACCTCATATTGGTTCTTCTGATATTCATTCAGAAAATTTGAAGCAATAAAAGACCAAGAGATTCCAAACTTATCCTGAAAATTATTCAAACAAAAAACAAAATGAATAAAAATAAAGACAGAGCATCGGGGACTAAATGCTGAAGGGATAGTTTACAGTAACAAGAAACATGCAATTACTGATGATAACTAGATTATGCAAAAGTAAGAAAATCAGTAACCTGTAAGAATTGCTGCAGAACATATGGCCGGCTTAGGCGATCAAAGTCCCAAATTCCCTCTCGTTCTAATTCTTCCTGAAAAGGAGGCATACTTTATATGTATTGACTAAGGGAGCATGAGGAAGTTTCTTCTTGAAGCCCTTATTGATCATCTAGCAAATACAAAATTTTCCATTTTCCCAGCTAGTTAGTACCTGACTTAAAGGGATGGAAGGTCTGAATTTTCCTACTAGTCCAGTCATTGCATGCTCTGGAAGCTCCCAAATCCGAAAGAAGCCCAATATATGATCAATTCTATATGCTGTAAAGTATTTGGCCATCTGCAAAGAAAAACAATATTTATCTTGTTAGAAAATTTAATAGAAAGGACGCAAAGCAAAGATACAACAAAGATTGAATTTATAAACCTGCGATAAACGAGCTCGCCACCAAGCATAGTTATCTTTTGACATTTCCTCCCAATTGTAAGTAGGAAATCCCCAATTCTGCCCATTTTTGTCAAAGTAATCTGGAGGAGCTCCTGTGGACGTGTTCATGCGGAACAAATTAGGATAAACCCAGGTATCTACACTGTTTCTGTCGACACCAATAGGTAGGTCGCCTTTCAATATGACTCCTTGCTCTCTCGCATAATTTGCAGCTTCCGACAACTGGCAGTTCACAACATTAGCACACAATTCAACAATAATATTTCTTTGTTCCACGCCACAAGTGATACACAAAAGAGAAAGAGTACTGCTTACTTGTATGTGCAAATGGTATTGGATGTAGTAATGGAAGCAGATAACTTCAGAGTGCAAGCTATCTTTGGAGATAAGTTTCTCTAGCTGTAAGAAAGATAAAAATCTCTGTTGGATTTCAACGCACTTGAATATGTGTGTGTGTGTGTGTGTAATAAATATATTTCAAACATAAACTCAATTTCTAATCAATTGTACAAAAATGATTGGATAATGCCAGTCATATCTAGATATAAATAAATAGATGAATATAGAAACATAAATGTACAATCATATTGTTTTTTATAAAATAAGCTAAGGAGAAATCAACTAGATGGCCACCTTTTCTTTTGAATAATGAGAAAAGCGGCCCCATTGGCTGTGATCTGACGTTTCAAAGAAATCGCGCAAAAAACAGAATGCTGCATATGGTTTTAGCCAATCCTATATGCGATCAAAACAAGAGTGCGATTAGTTATTGCAGAAAACTTCCGTTAAAGTAAAACTTGGAAAAAAGTGAGAGATTTTTGGATCTTTTGCTGTATTAAAACTAAATAGTTCAAGCAGGTAAAAATTTGAGACCTCATTCTCAGAAAAATATTCTTGAAAGGAACTGGAGTTAAGGATCAAATCTTTCTCTAGTGCAAATATTTTCTTGGCAATTGAAAGTTTAGTAGTCATGGTAGCTTCATAATCGACATCCTGCAGAGGTTCATTTCAAAAAACATTAATTAACTTCAACAAAGCCTTTCAAGGATGCATACTACATAACCTCATCATCATCATGACTTTGTCACTCAAGACACAAAATGTCACAAAAATCACAAGAAACAAATCTAGAAAGGCCAAGAACCCAAATTTTGGTTACTCAACATAGAACTATGACAATCATGAAGATTATTTCTTTATGTTCCTGAAACTTTCCTTTAAAGCTGTGAATAGGTCTTTAATCATATTTAGCTGTTTTATCTTATTGAGTATAGAAAAAGAATGGTTGCAATAGCCATAAAACATAAAAAGATAAACTAACGTCACGATATTATTTGCTTGTAAATGCAATGATGGAAACATTCTTTGATCATGATATCGGAAGCATCACAATCAGAGCAGGAATATAAATTTTATCCCCTACTTACTGTGCCCCGGGTAACCCTAATGAGCAAAAAGAGATTGTGCTCTGAAAGAAAGTGACGTTTTTTCGTTTATAACTCGAAACTACATCAGTGCAATTCTGCAGAAGTGAATAAATATTTATTTAGACGCGAAATGATGTGCCAAAATAACAAGAGAGACTGGGCTTCAAAGAAAAATAAAAATAGCATAACCCGTTGATGTCTTTATGAGATATCAATAAAATATATGAATCACTAAATGCACTACCTTTCCATCTAGTTGTTCTTTTGCCTTCTCAATCTCTTCCTGTAAGAAAAGAGCAATAATGTAAAGTAAAATCAGTTGAGAAATGAAAAGTAATAACAATAACAATAATAATAAATAAAGGGATTTTGTCTCTTTCTGACAAATTTCAAATCAGTGCCTAAAATTTGTCACCATAAGATGCCACACTATAAAGAAACGTTGTAGTGAGATAAAGGCTTTACTTATTATCTTAAGCAGAGTGTTAATGTAATAAAATTCTTTCATCACTAATAAAAACTTTTCTATTAAAATGTATGCCTAGAGAAAAATAAGTACTAATGTAGAGTGCATAATAAAATATATATTTCAGCTCCAAAGAGACAATATTGTTTTCATAGGGTTATATGGACCACCTAATTGCAATTTTTCCAGAAACAAATTATATGTAAGGTTATAAAGGGCGACATCACATAATCAGCACAATTTATGGCACAGCCAACAGCTAATTTTAGTTTCTGCTTCTTCGGAAAAAGGAAAGTTTAAAATAAAACTAAATCCAGTTCACACCTTGATATCCTGAGGTATCTTCTCTGAAAGGGCCTGTACTCTCAAGTACAAAGGATGCAATGCACACACAGAAAGTGAACTGCAAAACCAAGAAATACGAGATCAAGATACAATCAATATGTTAACCATAATGCAACTAGAATAATGAAGAATAAAAGCAGTCAGAAAAGTATCGTTAGTGTCTGATCATGACATGTCGACTCCGTACCTGTAGGGATATGAATCCCACCACATCTTATGAACTGACGTATCATTGATCGGTAAGAGTTGCACTAGATGGAACCCTGACTGAACAGCCCAGTCAACAAGTAACTTTAGGTCAAGAAACTCTCCAACTCCAAGATCACTTTCTGACCTAACAGAGAACATGGGGATAGAAACACCAGCACCCCGCCAAGGCGTTTCCTACAAAGCAAGTCAAAGATGATTACCATCACTGGAGTTCCAACGAGTCTCAGCACTTTAGGACAAATTCCAAGCTCTTATGAAACTCAACATTCATTAAATTGTTTATAATTCTCATAATCTCGTTGGACTATCAATGGCTTACTCGCAACATGCCATCAGAGAGAACAATGTATCTTGGTTGAGTGTTTGAGGATCCAAGAGAGAGGTCTCGAGTAGGACCAGTTTCCAAAGAAAAGCTTTCTGCATTTCTGTATTTACTGTATTTATATGTGAAATAGCTGTCAAGGAAGAGAAAGAGAAACACAAACAATGAAAACATTACAATAACCAGAATCAGACTACTAAATGCAATATAAATCACACCATCAAATCATTAACAGCTAAAACTCCACAAGGATATTTAATTGGAAAGTCAGTCTTTGGCAACACGCAGTCCGCATGCCAGATGGAATCACCAGCATAGCTTAGTTTAAGACCATCTTGAGCCTTCCATTTCCCCAGTTTGGTGGAGCTACCAAAAACATAAATCTGCTCACATTCAACATTATTAGTACCAAGCAGCAAGGTAATAAATTGATAATTATACATCTACCAGCTATAAATCTGAGGATATCACCGCAGAAAAATAGAAAGAAATCTCACTGATGTGTCCTCTTCTATGTTTGGACAGCAGATCTTGAAATGGACAAGTACTGAATCTGATTATTGACAGAAGTCAAGTAAAAGCATTACTTTGGGAATAGACAATTACCAGATTGTATACTATGTCAAATGTAACTAGAAAGTTAATTTAATCAAAATTACGTTCATGGCCCAACTTATTTTCAGTTACTGCAAGAGGCCTCTCTATCTTCAAATTGCAACTTCTGCGGAATATGACATCTTTGAAGGCACTTCTGAAAGGAAGCGTATCATCACCGGTCTGGATTTGATAACAGAAAATTTAGATGAAGTTGTCAAAAAGATTAACCTAGCTTGCATGAGCAACTTCTAAACAAACATAATTCGACTCCAAAAAAGCATAAAACTTTCAGAAGAATATTAACATTAAGAAGACAACTATACCAAGAGCAACTCCTATGAGAAGTCTACCAGACTGTTGTTCACAAAAGGTTGATCCTAACCAACCACACTACACAGCAACTAAAGAACAAAGCATAAAAATAATTAAATTAGCTATAAGTGGATAAGTTGCCGTAAAATAAGAAAACAGAGCCAAAGAAAGAAAAGAACTGTTCTTCTTTCCTTCCTTCCAGGATCTACAGTTTTTATACAAAATATTCTAAGAAAGCTAGTGTTCTTTGACAAATATCCTTTCGTGATAATATTTTTCTCCTCCAGTGTCATGGAGAAAAGAGTCAGATCTTTTATAAAATGCTTAAAGACTTGCGGGTTCGATCCCATGTTGTATCAAAATTAAATAAAATAAAATGCTTAAAGACAACAACTTTTTAAATAACTCAAGTTTGGTTGCAAAGCAACATTTAATAACTCAAGTTTGATAATCAATATTAAACTAACAGTTTAGGGTTGTTCCTTTAAATCTGATTATGTTATCTTGTTATTTCCATTGAGACTACTGCAGTCTCCTTGTAATTCCATGAGGACATCTTATCAACTTTGCTTTTGTACTTCATGTTGTTTCCCTTCATAAAATGGTCGTCTTTCTTAAAAATTATGGATTATAGTAAAAATACATAGATAAAAAAATAAAAAGAACCGCTTATCCTTCTTCTCCATGAGTAATATCTTAAGCAATTCACTTTCCCTTGTCCTAATCTCCTATTGACTTTGGTGCAACAAATTGAATGCGTCCTCACACTAATTAAAGATGATGAACAGTATATTAAATGCATATATTCAATTTTTTTTATACACTGAAAAGAAGAAAGCATCATGAGACATATTCTGACAATTTGGAGCAGGCAATGTTATTGAAAGACATTACTTATCTCCATCTTTTTATCAATCACATTCAGATGTAGCAGATAAATTAGAATTTAAAAAAAAGTAAATAAAGAAAAGACACCAGATTCAGAAACTATCAACAACAAACAAAAGAGAAAATAAAATACTAACTTAAAACATGAAAACGGGTGAATAACAAAATCAAAGGGAATAAAGAAACAAGAATAAGAATTTGGAACTCTAAAAGTGGATTTCTGTGAGATTCTGAAGTTCACTTTTCTTTTTAGAGCATTCATTGGCAATCACATACACCACATACCTAACAAGAAGAGAATCATTACAAGATTCCAAAAAAATCATAAAATAACTAGAAGATGGCCATATTGCCCACAGTGCAAATACAAAACGTTTGCCAGTAAAGTTGACCACATTATCAAAAGGCCAAAAAAGACGAGGAATCTTAAATCAAAGACAATCCAAAGTTAGAGAGAAAGAGAGAGAACATAATACCTGCCAAAGATCATGTAACTCTACCAACACTCCATCTTGAATTCCCTCAGGCAATGACAATTTGCGCTTCTTCCCCATCTCCCATCTCAGCACATTTTTCTCACCGTCCACCACATAATAACTGTACTCTGATTCGAACCCGGTCGGAACCGAAATAGTCCCACTCCATATGAGCTCATTACCTTGATGAACAGGGCTCAGTAACAGACCTTTCTTCACATTCCAAGCACCAAGAACTGGTTCAGAGCCACAAACCAGGAGGTTCTGACCCCATTGCGTGTAATACGGCAATCTGAACCTCACAATCACAGACTTGATAGGTTTTGCCCCAGAAAACAACCCCAAGTTGGTCATTTTACTTGAATATGGATCAGACCCAGATCAAATGTTCTCAATATCTACCAAAATATAAGAGTAAATTTGTGAATATACCATGCAAAAATGTTCAGGACTAGTTTCAGTTATGCACATATGTATATATACAATTAGAAAAGGAAAAAAAAATAAAAATAAAACAAGGAAGAAGCAATTAATAAGTCCAGGTAAATAGAAAGAGCCTTCCATAACATGAAATAAGAATGCAAATAATACAACAACAACAAAAAAGGTTGATTTTTGTTACATTTTCCCGAGTTTTCTCAGCAAACAAACAATCATTAGCTAGTGAAAGCCTCACAAGATTCTTACAGAAAAAAAAAATCCTCTTTTTGCACAGGACCTAGATGCGACCTTCAAATTCAACAAGAAACGAACAAAACCCAGTATAGACTGAAATTCAACTTTGCTCCACCAATAAGAAAGGCGCTTTTATGGAGAAGAAACAATAATAACAGAGGACAAGATATGAAAAAAATCTGAAAAAATGGGCGTCTCTTTGTTGGGTTGGAAGCGCCAAAAAGCGCATGGCAAATGCGAGACGCTTTCTAGGAAGATTTTTTCCTTCCTTTTTTTTTTTTTTTTGGTTTGTTTGATGTGGTGGGGAATGAAAAATGAGAGGAAAAAGAGAGATTTTTGGGTGTGTGTTTGTGGGATTGGTGTGGCCGTGTTGGAGTTGACTCCTGATATTTCTCGAGGGAAGACTGTCCTTTCGTGAGCAGAAATGGAACGTGAAATTGTTTTTTTTTTTGTGGTGCCACTGTCACGGGGAGAATGACACCTCCGTGACACCCTCCGTGACTCTTAGAGAGAGAGAGAGAGAGAGAGAGAGAGAGAGAGAGAGCTCAGTCACTTATCATATGAGATGATGAAAAAGAACCTCCGAGTTTGTGTATTTAAATTAATGCGTATTTTGATTTGACTTTTTTTTAAGATTTATCTCATTGTACCCCTAAGCTTTAAGGTTATTCTTACTTTATCCCTCAATTGTTAAAAGTTTCTACTTTTATCTCCTCAATTCTACGTTAGTCTCACGCATTAATTGAAAATTTGTGGTGTAAATTGTGAGTTTTTAGAGTTTAAGGGACAAAATGAGAATAATTTTAAAATTTAATGACACAATTAAGACTTAGTTTTTTCAAATTAATCCACAAACTTATTTATGAATGCTTTTTTCCTTTTCCTAGAAATTATCAGATAAAACCTGATTGTTTTATGTTTTGTATTTCATTCATTCTTTTTCTCTTTCTATTTTCTTTTTTTTTAAGAGAGATCTTGACAAATTCTTTTTAAAAATGTATGGATCTGAATTTTTACTACTTACTCTTGATTAGTGTTACTATATAGTTATTTGACTAAATATGGAATTATTCAAGAGTAAGGGCACTTTTTAAGTAGATAGTTTACTGTGTGAATTTTCAAAATCAAGCCGCGAGCTTCGAACAACTCGGGTCGCGACCTAACGGACCGACAGCTCGTCCGGCAAGTTACCCGAATTGCATGGGCAACTTGACGCCCAAGTTACCAGATAATGATTAGATTATGCACGAGATTGTGTCCCTAAATCTCAAAGAATCTCATTTAAACTTAGGCTCATTTAGTTCGCTGATTCGAATTTTTAATTCAAAGTGAGATGTGATTTTATATGAGAGCTTTTTACTGTAGCTAAAAAGTTAGATGTAACTGTTTCTGAGAGCTTTTTACTGTAGCAAAACTTGAATTCTAAACTCGAATCGGTGAAATGAATGGAGCCTTAGATATCTCCTCTAGAAAAGGGATTATCTCAATCCTAATTCAAATATTCAAACTTCAGGCTTAGTTATAGGATATCTCCTATCAAAATTTAAAGAGAATATCTTATACTAGAGAAATTCAGCCACCAAGCCTATAAAAGGGGATTAATTCATGACCATATGATCCCTGATTCACACATATTCACGCCCAGAGCACCACGCCTACAAACCCTAGCCTCCTACAGTGTTCTTCATGCATTCCAAGGCATACAGAGCGCTTTCTTCGAACATTAGGCTTAGTTTTACCCAGATTATTATTATTTTCTATCATTCCCCTCTTCTCTCTTCCCGCTTCTCTCTCAATTATATTGTACTTTTTCATCGATATTAGTGGAATCATCATCGAATACCCTACAATAGACGTACCTGGATTCCTCAGGAAACCATTATAAATCTCTTGTGTCTTTGTCTCTTATTTACTTTTTCCCGCTTTTATTATCTACTACGCAATACCAACTCTCTAATTAGTCGGAATTCGGTCATTGGTCTTATATAAATTGAAATGTAGAAATCACCCTAGTATTAAACATTGAACCCATGGGAGAAGAAAAAGGGAAGGTATGTACCAACCCATTGGTAGCATTAGCACTAATATAGGTATTCTATCCGGCATACCATCCATGCCCCAATCTGCTAAAAGAGTAATTCACACGTTCTGAAATTTATTTCAATTTCTTTTATAATATAGTGTTAATAAATTGTTGTTTTCCAATTGACGGGATGTAGTTTTTTTATATATAGATCTCATAATGTATTGCGATTAAAGTCTAAGATGCGTATGATACTTTACAAAATCCAATATGACTGTTGAATAAAGAAATACAAAACACTTGGACCCTTTGTGACCATTTAGAAAAATGATTATATTCCCACTTGACTAAACATAACCATCTATTTTTATTTATGGAGGTATTCCGTAAGGAAATTTTATTATAAAGTTATATAAAATATTTCTCTACTCTTCTTTTTCAACCGAAAATTACCTCTAGTTATATCTTATAAAAATAAAACTTAGGTTCTCTTTAGCTAAGTGCTAAAAACATTTATATATTGTATAATATATAATGTAACATGCCACATGCATGCATTTAAATTTTATGTATTATTATTTCATCATTATAATTTTGTTAAAACAGCACATTGCTTTCTCCTCACTCTCTATCTCTCTTTCCCCCTTCTGATAACATGAGAAGTTGTCAATTATTTGTGCTCTCTATTTGAGGTTTCAAACCAAGAACCATGGTTCTATGGTGAATGTGCTTGGTACAAATGGATCCTTTATAGGAAAAATCACCACATGAAAATGTTTTGCAAAACATAAAAAGCCAAGCAATAAAGAAACGGCTAGAAAGACTCCTAATTTCTATCATCACACATTATTGGTGGGCATTTTAGGTTGATAACTTTATAAAAACCGTCTGATTTTCTCAATTTAAATGGTTTATTTGATAGAGAGTACTCTCGTATGTAGAATATAAAACCGAGACTAGTGGCATCACATGCGAGACAGTGCACAAAAGCTATCACATGGCAAAATATAAGAATATACTTTAATTTTCAATTTAAAATGTGTAAACAGCATTATACTCTCATAATTCTACTTACAATAATATATTGTTTACTACAATTACGTTACTAACCAACTTATGAACTCTTACAATGCATAATCGTAGTCAATCTTCTTTTCCTGAAAGGAAAATGGCCCAGCTTTATTGAATAATCTCCTCATAATCTAGAGGGTTTATTTGAGAACCAGATTCGAGTTTAGTTATCCTTGAGACAAGTCTTGATTCCTTCAAATAAATTCAACATCCTTTTGCTTGCTTTTTCATTAATAAAATATATAATCTCCGAATAGAATTCGAGTTATGCTATAATAAAAAACTCTCAAAAATAATCACTTTTAATTTTTTTACTACAATAAAAAAACTCACATAAAGTCACATCTCAACTCAAATCAGCGAACTAAACAAGCCCTTAACTATTCCATACAAACTCTGTCTTTGAATTCTTGCAATGACATATTCTTTTAAAACGTAGGTCAGATATTTGCAAAAGAAAGTTTCTTTTTCCCTTGCCCTGGGTAAAGTTTTTTGCTCTGACCGGATTTTTAACTCTCAAACCAGATGTTTTAGTATGATTTCAGGAACACCCTGTTTTCATATAAACAATCGACAATAATATGCAAATGCTTTCAAATGCGCCTAACGTGGGAAGAACTAAAGAAATCATCTTGCTTGTAAATTTGTAATAGAGCCACAATGACAAAATCTTATATGGTCAATGCACACAGGGCGAAAAAAGACATGTTCAAATGGGGTCATACATAAGATCACCCATGGGTTTTACCTTTTATGTAGGAACGTTGGTAATGACAAGTCACATCTTCATGTCATAGGCAGAAGCAACTCTAAGCATGCTTCCAAACAATTACCATTACTGCTAACATTGCTGAAGAGTAGTACCTAGTTTTCAAAAGCTTTGCCAGTGCGATTTTCCGACAAAAATGTCATAAAACTCCTAATGCTACAGCTGATTGACTTGGAACCGGAAACAAAAAAGTATCATAAGATATCTGTTCGTTTCTTCCTCTTACATTTCTTCCGAAGAGAATACACAAAACAGCAGCAATGCATTTAACCAAAGGCCTGCCACCTCTGTGACTTTGACCCAAATATGCATTTGCTGGCTGGGATTTTAATCAATATTTACACACATAGGAACAACATACATCCACTCAGATGTGAAGCTACACCCTTTTGAGTAGTTCACAGTTACAGAAACTCCACTAGATCCGGTTGGAAATGATACAGTTGAGTCTTCCTCGAAAACAGACTAGTGGGTTTAACTAGAAAACAGATTGTTTATCCTCTTTGGTTATAAATGTAATACAAGAGCAAGCAACAGTGAAACTGCGAATTGAACAGTGGGAAGAGAACCTGCAGAAGCTGCAATAACAATCCATCAGTAATGGAGAACAAGAAATTACATCAGACACTAATGCACTTATTTTAGGACTTGGGAGTAAATACTTTGGATTACTAGCATTTAGGGACAAATTTTATTCCAGTTGAAGTTCTTAGAGTTAGATTCTAAGTCGTGCAAGAATTGCTGGTCGATAAATATGCTTGGTTGTACTAGGCATTTCAGATTTTGAGCAAATAAATACGGATTGAATTAAATTATTCCCTCTCCTAATTCTCTCTCTATCTAATTTCTTCAATCCTTCTCTCCATTTTTTTTTCTTCAGCCCTTCTCTCTAGTTCTCCCATCTTTTCTCTTTCTCTGGCCATATTCACTCCCTATTGGTCCTACATCAGTTATGGAACATAAACCTGAATTCCATGTGCAGTTAAACCTCTAGTTACTTCAATGTTCCATTGCTCATAATCATTGGCATGAGCCGTTTATTTTTTTTTTTTTTTCAAGTGTGCAAGAGTCTTAACTGCAATTCCTTTTTTTCTTTCGGTAAATAAATAATAAATAAAAAAAGGAAACCATATGGAATACAAGGAGGACTTCAAAGCACGCACGCGCACACAAAAAAAAGCATAAATATATTCACACAATAATCATTACTTTGAACTACTATACTAACTTGCTAAGATCATCGGTATACTCACATGTAGAAGGGGTTGGTGGTGCAACTGCTGGCCTCGTGTCAAAATGTTCTTTATCTGGTTTGCTCTTTGATGGGGGCTGAACATGAGCAAAAACTACACTTGGCAAAGGGCTGGAAACTGGAACAGGGTTGGAGATGGGTTTTGATGGGGCTACTTGCTTGTGCGGTGAGGCAGCTGGCTGGTGAGGAGATGCATTTGGTTTTGATGGTGCAACAGCAGGAGCCAAGTGAGGACGCTTTCTCTCTTCCCCTTTAGACCTATAGCCCAAATGGCAACCAGGTGGCTTTGCTACATAGCTTTTCTCAGGAGGAGGTGAACTTCTCGCTGGGGTAGGTGCACCATCCTGAGGTGAAGGCACACTATTTTGAGTTGCAGGTGAACCTCCCTTGGTTGCAGGCTCTGGCGAAATTGCAGGAGCAAGCTGGGCACCATGGTGGTGATGATGGTGGTGGTGATGGTGATGGTGGTGGTGGTGGGGCTGAGGAAGAGAAGCAGGTGAAGGTGACTGTGCAGGTGAGCTACCATCACCACCATGAAGATACTGTTGCATAATAGATGAAAGCCGGACTTGCTTGACCTTACCAAATACAGTATTATTCAGACCAAGGTTTTTTGAGTGTCGACTTGTAATGGTTTGAGCAAGCTGCTTCAACCTTTGCGTTGAAGGCGTATTCCCAACAGCCAGTACAACAGAGGACTGAACAATGGTCGGGGCATCTAATGTTGAACCTCTGGAGTTTGATAAGCTAACATACAAGTTCTGCATTTCACAAAATAAATCAGTCAGGATCTGATGAAGTGCGTTCAAGGCAATTAAATCATAACCCTTCTAAGAGTTTATTAAGTCAAAACAATGGCAGTGGGAAACAACCTAAAATGTCAAGTTACACCTCAGCCAGAAAGCATACATGCGTATACGTATTGGACGGACAGACAAAGAGAGAAAGTTGTCTAACCTCATAAGATGCTAGATGTAACCCCAACTTCAGTTGCCTTGTCAGTTCCTTAAAATTTACTTGTATTTCATAGATGGAGAAATTTAAAGTAAAATTGAAAAGGATTTGCACTTTCTGCAGAAGAAAAGCACTCTGAACGGGAATTATCGTGATTCCTCCTGGAAATTTTAGCACCTCAAAAAAATATGCATCGCCAAACAAAGAAGGGGTCAGGTGAAGAAATGTCTGGCGTGTAACCAAAACTTTAAAAGATCCCCTTATCAGACTTTCAGCTGTTTCAGACAACTTTGAATTTTTTTCTTCTGGATCAACTGCAAATACAACTCTTGTTATGTTCGGTTCTCGTAAGGGTTCCAGAGACAAGACAACCACCTGATGCAAATCATGAACTAGATCAGAATACATATAACTTGAAGTTAGTGATAAGACAAGAGATAGAAGTGTAGATACTTTGGAGGGAATGTTTATTTCTGCAAAAATGTCTTCCTCAAGCTGCAAGATATTGTTTTGGAGCAAAGAAACTGGCTTCATAAGGTCGAAACTTGCTACTATATCGTGATCTGCTTAAAAGGGACTGTTAGTTACAGAGTCTCAATTCTTCATCAAAAAAAAAAAACAAAAAACAAACAAAACAAAACAAAAAATAAATAAATAAACAAAACAAAACAAAAACAAAAAAAGAATTTAAAAGAACGATGCAATGGCATCATATGATGAGTGAGAATAAGATGCACATTATCTCTGAGACCTGTTTTGCAATCTTCACATTTAAGAAATAATAGAAGCACACATCAAGAACACAAAAATATCGTGTTTTCAAACTGAGATCTAATGCTTTATAAGATTAAAATGAAAGGTGCATACATAGACATAGACATTTGCAAAGGAAAAACCTTTAACCCACAAAACTTCTAAATAGCCCAAGCTACCCTTAGGGTATCTTTTCAACACCCTCTCATGTCACTTTATCCCCATATGATCCATCACATCTTAATCGTCTCACCCCTGATCACCTAAAACCTTTAGGATCACATATTTAGTCCTTATTCTTTGTTTATAAAAACTCTGGTTTTACAAAATACATAAAGAGAAGCAACCCAATACAAGCTCAAACAGAACTCTAGACAAAAACAAAACAAAACAAAAAATTACTCAAACACAATTGCTATAAACGTTTACCTAACTCAATCAGGATCTTAAGAATAGTAGGGATATAAAACGTCGCAGTCAAGTATTGCAGTCTACAGTACGTGGTATTTCAATGAAACACAGAACAAATCTAGTTTAAAAGACAAAATAAAAACCTTGCAATTATTTCTAAATCTAACTGAATTAACAAGATGCATAACCTTTTTTGATACGCAGGAATCCCCCGAACCCACTTTGGGATTTTTTAATTGTATTGTAATTTTATTGATTAAGGATCAGCATCGTTCACTTTATCCCACTCTTCATCAACCACTAGATCTAATCAACTAATTATCACGAGATTTAAAATCTAGAGCAACTCCTCTCCCCGTCTTTAAAACTCTTGACACTTACTGCATTCAATAAATAAGCTCTCCTGCCATCCTAAATATCACAAAACTCAACCCACTAAACCCCTTCCCCCATCCCCCAAAATTTATAACAGTTCCTCTCTCTCTCTGTTTGTCTATCTACAATCATACCAACACTCAAATCACAACAATATGAATGAGAGCGTCTAAATATCAACAACAATCACAATAGACCTTTGTACTGTGCCAGTCCACCGCATTCTTTGACAACCTAATATCCAATATCTTCAGCCTTTGTTCTCATTGTTTCAGATGAGAGGATTTAATTCATGGTCATCAACGAAACATAATAATGAATTGGATTATTACAAGCACAAATGAAGCCTAATTGCTCATGCGAGAAATTGCAATATTATGGACCTCGAGATACAATTTTCAAATTCAAATTAAAAAAGAAATGAAATATAAGAGTACTTTGGTTCCATTCATCTAGAACATCTAAAGGAGCAATTCAAATTTCAAACTTATCTATGTTTCAGAGTCTAAGTTCGAAAATTGAAATTCAGATTAAGACAGTTTATTTGAGCATAAATGTTAGCTGTATTATTGAGTTGACTGCCTTAGAACTATTTATAAACTTTTTACTGGGTACTCTTTTTTTCTTTTTTTGTTCTTTTTGTTCTTTTCTTAATTTCCATTTTTGGAGATGGTAGCCAGTAGCAAGCAGATGCGCAGATTAATCCAGGTAAACAACATATTTGGCTACCCAACCCTTTATTGAAAGAAAATAGAACTACTTAACTAATAGAGGAAAGAAAGCACCATAGTTCTCAAATACTTGTTTTAAACCATTTAAAATTACCAAGATTTAGGTCTGGGGCATAAAATTTGGGATAATTTAACTTAAAATAGAATTAGTACGATTTACGGCATTAAGAAATAAACGAAAAATCAGAGATCTAGAATTTCCTCGCAATATGTACTTACTACTGTCCTCCAGTCAGTTGCCCAAGAAGGTAAAGGAGAAATCAAAAGAAAAATAAAATTTTTTATGGAAAGAAATTGAAACTAAAGCATAAATTTCCCATTGTTGCGGCAAACCCAAATAGTAAAGTTTGTCATTTCTAATAAATTATGACGACGTAAGCCTGAAATTCAAACTGTCATAATCCCTTCGTGCCCTAGAACTTTTCAGCAACGAACCATAAAATTCCCACCAAAATTAACAAACTACTAAAGCAAGCATTATAAACCTATCAAAAATCAAATTATTTTCTATTTTTCTTCACCTGCATTTGCTCAACCACCAAACCAAGCTTCACAACAACCGGATAACAAAAAACCACAAATCAAAAACACCTCAAGAAAACCTAAAAAACTTTATAAAAATTCCAAAACAAATCTAGATCCAGGCCTTGAGAAACAATGTCGGCGCCAACAAATCCAGAAACCGAAATCACCTGACGGAAAAACAACAAGCAATCAAAGAATTTTGCCGAGAAACAAACACACCTTTGAACGGTGAATCCCGATCCAGATCGCCCCGATCCGCAAACTGAAGGAACGGCGGCAACCAGAAGATGGCTGAGAGGACAACCGCCGCCGAGAGCAACAGAACCAAGACGCATTTCAGTCCGACGAACCTACGAATCCGGCGACACCAGAAACAGCACCGATTATTCACTACATTTCGCTGCTCCGACGAATCGGAGGAAGGAACGGTGGAAGGCAGAATCTGCTCTTCCTCAACCTTCCCCATTGGGACCAGACCAATGCCGGCTATGGCGCCAACTGATCGCCCGTGTCTCGATTCTCCATAGCCATTTCTCTCTCTCTCTCTCTCTCTCTTTCTCTTTCTCTCTCAAGCTGGTTTTTTACTTTGCAGTGAAGAACAAAGAAAGAAAAATCGAAACCCACCAAAGAAGAAGAAGATTAGAGAGAGAAAAGACAAGAGGAGTTTTTTTTTTTTTTTTGGTGTATGTGATGTGGGAAGCGTTTTGAGTTTTTCTCTCTCTCTCTCTTTTTTGTGAATTTTTTATTTTTTTGAAAAACGAATAAAATAATTTTTAGGGTTTGAAGAGAGAAAGAAAGAGAGTTTTTCTTTAATCTGTAAAAGTAAACTTGTGAAGGAAGTGCCAACTACAGCAGTGTGTTTTAGTTAAGAGATAGTGCTGGTTTATCTGCTTTGAAAATAAATAAAATAATTTAAAAAATAATAAAGGAAGTGGGTGGGAAACTTGGAAGGGGACAAGAGGTTTTTCTTTTTTTTTTTTCTTTTTCTTTTTCTTTTTCCTCTCTAATTAAAACAGCGCACTATAGACTGGAGAATTATTTATATTAAAAAAAAAAAAGAGATTTCCGCGTAGGATAATGTATTGAAGAAGATTAATGGCTTCATTTGTGCAAAAGGTGGTAGTGGTGGTTTTGACTGGGATGGCAACGGGCAGATTTGAGGCCAGGTAGTTTTCTCGTCCCAATGTAAAAAGATATTTATTATTTATTTTATAAAATAATATTTTTATTATTTTATGTATATATATTATTAAATATTTTATAAATATTATTAAAAATTATATCTTTATTTATGTGGTCTTAAATATTATATATAAATGTTATATATAAGAGAATAATATTTAAGAATAATAATCAAAATACGTTTGTAATAAATTTAATTAAGATTTCAGAATTTTTAATTAAAATATTACTAATACGTGTCATTCCTATTAAGAGTGGATCGATGTTATCCTCGTTATTAATATAGGGAATATTGAATAAGTGTATTATGCATAATAAGATTATGTAGAATTGGGACACAAATATGATTTAAATTTTTGATAATTTTCATTAAGTATAGAAATTCAAATTGAGTGATCTACCAATTGTCATATATAAAACGATCTTAAATCTAAGTTTTAGCATACTCCTATTTATGAATTTGTATTTTTTGACTTACTCGGTATGAATTTTGAGATTCTAAATCATATTCCTTATATCTTGGAGACATGATGAAGTAGACAACTAGGAATATTAATAACAAGATGGAATCCATTCCTTATTCATTGAAGAAGTAGATAGATAATTTTCTTGAAGGTTGATTCAGTACTTGAACAAGTAACGAGCTGAGCTCATATTGATGATTTTGTTTTATTGTACTCAAGAATAAAGATATAATTAGAGAGGTTAATGGATTTTACATAACTCTAATTATGAATTATTTGTAGATGATTGATCTATATGTAGTGACTATATTAAATAGACACTAGTTCTTGGAAGTAAAATATGTCTGTAATTTCGAGAGTGCAATTCCAAGTTTATAGTTGAATAACTTTTAATATTTATAAAATTAATTAATTAATTAAAGAGTTTAATTAATTATTAATTTTATCATAGCTAAGAATTATAAGTCCATGAGTCCCTGCATCATCCTTATAATATTTGCAAGACATGATGAATTATTAAAAATTATTATCACTCGAAATAAATAATGTGATTATTTAAAATAATTAATTTTAGAACACATTGCGGTGGGACTATAAGAGACCACACGCCCAGCACAAGGAGGTGTAGGGGTGTGTGGCACAGAGGGGAATCCCTCTGGGATTTAGTTACTTTCTGTCTAAGTTATCTGATTTACTTGTTTGACAAGTTCTCCAATTAAATTCAAAAGTAAATTAAATTTTGACTTTATTTGAGTTTGAATTTGACTCAAAATTGAAAACAGGATAAAGAAAGAAATTGTATCCTCCTTCTAGTAGTGTTAGACACCAACTATCGGGAGATTATCCCTATGGTGGCCAGCCATATAGGGATAAGAAGAGAGAGAATTTTGTTTCAAAATTAAATGGGAAACTATATTCCAAATCGGATTTAAAATATGAGTGATATCTAATTTTCTATTACTTTAACTTGAAGATAAAGCTAAAAAGATCTCTTAGGACTCTATGGATAGGGGACAATAGGAAATTGAAGAACACAATTTTTTGCTCTCTCCCTGCTAAGCGGTAAGCATGTACAACTGAGAGAAAAGAGAAAAAAAGTCTTTTCATTCTCAGTTTCACCTTATACATGCGTTGATATTAGTGGTTATTCTAATGGAGTAATAATAGAATAAATACAATCAGAAAGGTAAACTGAAACGTGACCTCAAATCGATCACATATATCCTATAGGGATGATACATATAAAAATGGGTGCGTCTATTAGCACTTTTTTTTTTTTACTTTTCCCACATTCCTTTTCAATATTACTAGATTACCCATTAATAAAATTGCTTTTAAGGACAGGAGTATTTAAAAAAAAATACTTATTAAACACTCCCCTATTAAAAAAGATATATTGCCTTTCAAAAACACATATGATTAGAAAAAAATTATATAAAAAAACACGATTTCACAAAATATATATATATATATATAATTTGCAATATAGGTCGGAGAAAACAAAAGTTATATAACATATAGTTGCTTCTTCATGAGAAAATATTCGAGGCTTTGTGGCGAGGACGATTTGGGACATCGTTAGGTAATTACATGAATTATTCAATCAGTGTTTTAAATTATTAATCGGATGTTTGTTTTATGGGTTCGTCTCTAATTTTAAATTATAGTTCTTGATTTCTTATAGTATTTTTCTCTCATAAAAAATTTAAATTTCAAAAATCAAAATCATAAATCATTATTCTAAACTCATGAACCAAACATTTCATAAGTTAAATATTTTAAATTTATTTAAAAAAAATTTGTAAGAAACAAAGGATTTTTGAGGAAGAAAGAAAAGAAGCAGAAGAAAAAGAAAAAGAAATAAACCTAAAAAAAAAGGAGATTGTTTTAGTCAATGGGTGAAAAAAAATATAAGAATTATAATTTAGTTGTTTGGATTTGTAAGAGGGGTGTATCGAGTAATAATTAAACTATAAATTTAAATTGGAAGTGGTTTAAGAATGTGTGTGTAAAAAATATATAATGTGAGTAATTTAGTTTTAGGGGCTTTTTTGAAATTTTAAGAGGGGCATAATAAGTAAAATGAGGGGCGATTTAAGAATGTGTGTGTGAAAAGTAAAAAAGAGAATGTCAATAGACACACCCTATTACAATAAGTCATGCCATGCATTATAATTATTTAGAGCTTTGTAAATATATCATATAGATAAAAAGTGCAGCTCTAGGCTTTTAATGTAATAGCATTAGAGTTTATAATCGTGAGATGAACTTATCAGTGAACAAGTTCTGTCATGATTATAAGAGCTTGATTTATTTATGTCAATCATATCTTTTTTATAGCTCATATACTTTTCTGATACGACATGACATATTTCCTACTTATTGGTAATTTATGTTATTTCTGCAATTAGTTATAAATAACATGGACTTAATTTATGAGCAATATATTCATTGAATTAACTGTTTAAATTAATTTGAGATACGTTGGTTGAATTAAGATAATGTTTCAATTATTAATTCAAGAGAATTTTATTGGTTGAATTCATTGTTTAATTCAAAATAAATTAGTTAAATTAATACAATTTAAAAGTAATTTATCTGTTGGAATTAATTGTTTAATTAATTCAAGATAAATTAGTTGAATTGATGTTTTTACTATTATTTGATATAAATTGTTCACATATAATATTTTAATCATATAATTTGTGTATTGGTTTAATCAAATTAAAACTAAAATTATATACATAATTCACAGATTAAATAAAAGAACAAAAACAAGGCTGGAAAACGGGTTCGTTAACCGGTAAGGTATTGCCCAATTAATCGGACGGATTTTCGAGAAGTCACTGAAAACTTTGTCATCTAGTTAATCAGACGGTGTCATCTCAGCACCTCCTTAGTGCGATCTGTTTGTGATTTTGACTTAGAAAATTATTTTGATTGCAGAAATAAGTCCTTCTAACCTCTATAAATCACCCACTAAGTCTCATTAACACTAAGATCACTTGAGAGATTTTTAAGAGACTATAAGTAAGAGTTTCTTAAGAGGAAAATTTGATTAAATAACAATATTAATTTTTTCCTTAACTTTCTCATGGTCGTTCGAAGAGGAGATTGAACAACATTTGTCCACTCGTATTTCTATTATAGAAAAGAGAATAACTTTAAAGTTCAGTGGGTTGAAACTCTTTCAATTATTGCTCTTGATCATTGCAATTTTTATTAGAAGTGTTATTATCAATCTTCTAAAGATATGATTTTATTTACGACGGAAGCATCATGAATAAGGTCCGACTTATAATAGTTTGTTAAAAAAAATTTAAAAAATTCAATTGCATATGTCCACAAATTCTTAAAGGAGGTCATTTATCTCTTAGGTCCTTAATTTCCAGCATAGGCTATAAACCTGGAAATTTTAATAAAATTCAATACATAGTCATGCACCTTAGAATCCTTGAATACAAAATCCTTAGCAAAAAATTGAATGTGGCTTGATCTCATAATAGGGTATATAGGCAACTTGGTTAAGTCTGTCACGAGTGTAGCTGCAAACCCAAATAAACCCAAATTCCCTTTAAAGCAACAAAAGTAAATTTTATATTATTATAATTAGAATCAAAAGAGAGATTGTACTTAAGAGATCATTTTTATAATCTTTAATAGGTTGAACTTAAAAATAATAAACTCTTATACTATCAACTTCTAGCATAGGTGAATTATTACGTAAAACAAATGTCTATTTAATATTTTTGCTCAGCAGAATATATAGGTTGATCTAGGCCCTAAACTAACTTAATAATATATATCTCTGATTAGATTAATAAATATTCTTGGCATAACATTTATTTTACTATATGAAATTAATACTACACAATAATTATTTATTCATATGACAATTAAATAATTACATCATTAAATATTGTTGTTATTGGGAAGAATTAAACATATTTAAATATATTAGTCTTAATTAATGATAGTTCAAGTATTGTGGCAGACCTAACTTACTTTGGAG